AATCTATAAGGAAGTGCCTTCTGACTCAGCTCCCCTTTTGCTAGAAGAGGAATGGATTTAGATCTACGGTATTGAAGACCCAGGGTTTCTGACCATCCACATAATGAAACCACCACTGAACCATGAACAATGCTTTCTTTTTTCAACATTGTGTTTGTCCTCGACACAAAATACTCCAATTGGCTTGAACTGCCTGAGTATGTATGTCTCATAAAAGCAAACACACCGGATTAAGGCGCTGGGGGAAATACTTAAACACAAATGTAACAAACATTAATATAGATCCAAGCACACACAGCAATGACCCCATTTGCTCCATGTCCACATCGCACCGAGGATTTAAAACCACGCTTCCCAAAATAAACACAATCATTTTCTCCGAGTGCAGCAGCGGTAGTAACACTAACAGGATGACCACTGGCTGTTTGTAAAGAAGAGAGCGTGGAGGAGACATCAAGGACCAGATGTGTACGTCTGCAATGGTCTCTATCTGTCATGAATGTGTCTTCAGAATCAGATTCATTTCATTTGCCATTTGCAGTAAAACCACATATTGGAATACATTTGCAAAAGTCCCCAGTGTGAACAAGACAGGTACATAAGAAAATAAAACAAATGCAATGGACACTGTGAAATCGATCAACTAAAACAGTTTCAATACATGTGCAAGATCATTAAAGTGCTCTATTTAAACGAACAATATCTTCTGCCATAGGGAAGAAGCTGGAACATGGCTTTTCCAGGGTGGCCAGAAGAGTCATGGCTCAAACCCACCTGAAGAAAATAATACGTGTATTTTGTTTCCTGGTTACTACCAGCTAATATTATCAGCACCGCAGAGAAATATTGTTTAAAAAGTGTTTAATGACAGCAATTCCCCCTGTGGCTACTCTGAAATAGCTTAGTCTTTCCTCTGCTCTTTGCCGAAACAAGAAATATGACATATTATATTTAAAATTATTATGATATTATAATATTTTATAATTAGACAAGAATATTGTGGTTAGGGTTGTCAAAAGTATCTAGTACAGACACAGTGGTCCCTCGGATTATTGCGGGGGTTACTTTCTAAAAAATAATCTGCAATGAGCGAAGTAGCAGCTGTATGTTTTATGGCTGTAAAACCCCTTTATACACTTTTCTAACGACCTGAACTCACGTCTGCTGAAGTGCGATCGTGGAGATATCAAACGTGTTTGTTGGTTGAGCGCTGCTGCAGCTGTCAAAAGCTGTGCATACAGTACACTGAGGGGCAGGAGAAGGACTGAGGGCTACACGGGAAGACCACATGTGACATTTCTTGACTCATTTTAAACTATTTTAAAATAACTTGTAAACAACCTTTAAGCTCCTAACCCATGCTTTATTGTTTTTATAATTGAAAATGAAATTGTATAGTCCAAAAAGAGCATTTATTAATGGTTGCCGTATCAAAATTGGTATTGAATGGCACCTCATAGTCCAGAAAGTCTTATCACTCACAAAACTGTTTCGCTCCATCACAAGTTTTTTTACGAGTGTAGTGAGGGAATTTACCTTACAACAACTTCAGCAGTGTCTGGAAAGTCACAGCTTTTTAAATTTAAATGGTTACCGTTACCATCAACACGTTTTGCAGAGCTTACCGCCTACACCGGTTACCATTGACAACCCCGAGCCAGAAGTTTTGCACAAGTTGACAGGAGCAAAGCTTGTTGCTAAGTTCCTCTGCCACAGCTGTGATTGCATACACACAAATGCATACACACAAATGCATACACACAAATGTATTCACACAAATGAATACACACAAGTGCTATTTCGGTATTTCAATTTCATACCACCAAGTATACCATATCACTGCAAATGGTAATATATCGCCCAGCCATATAGTTAAAAATCAAAAGTATATTGAATCCTGGACAGTTACACTTGCATCAAACTGGTATCTTGAAATATATTCGCAAACAAGTCATGAAATAATCTGTTTCTTTTCATCAGGACCATGAAAGTCAACTTGTCTGTCAGTTCAAACTTGTAGTGTTGAACTGTGGGGTTTCCGTGTCTTCTTCCCTGAGTTTTCTCTCCCTGTTCATTGTGTTCATTCAGTCCTTGAGAGAGTGAATGGGCAGATGTGTCTCGGCCTGATACATAATTAATACCACTCTCTGAATCTATAAAGGGCTCTTCCTTCCTATTTGTCAGTGCTCACAAATAGAACTCGCACAGACCACATCTCCTGCCTCTTAAAGGAGACATATTATCCAAAATCGACTGTTTGAGCTTTTAACCATCAAAAACAGACACAGCCCGACGTGGCTCTACTCTACTCAACTCTAATCTACTCTACTCTACCATGATGGGCAGTGAGTGTTTCTACCGGCCCTGTTTAACCGGTACCAGGTCTTTCTTTAGTCCGTTTTGGGCCTGGTTCTATCCAGTATTCTAGCTGACAGTGATTGGTCAGAGTGCTGCTGGAAGGGTTGCCATGGTCACTAAGGAAATTACTGGGTTACTGGTTTGTTGTGGTTAGGTTTCTAGAATATGGTACCAAATACTAAAGCGCAATGGAAACGCAACATAGAGTAGAGCCAAGTAGAACAGAGCCAAGTAGAGCCCAGTTGGTTGTGGTTATGTTTCCAGGATAAAGTACCAAATACTAAAGCGCAATGGAAACGCAGCGTAGAGTAGAGCCGAGTAGAGCAGAGCCAAGTAGAGCCCAGTAGAATAGAGTAAGGCTGGTGGTTTAGGGCATTAGAATTAGAATTAGAAAGTGCCTGGTCCCAATCAGAGTAGAGTAGATTAGAGTATAGAGTAGAGCAGAGTAAGGCCAAGTAGCGCTGGTGGAAACAGGGCTGTAGCGTATCGGAGCACTCCCCCCTCCCCCTCCCCCCTCTCTCTCTTTTGGGGTTTAGAGTTTCATCCTCCACAGCAGTTTGTGAAGGGCACCGGTCTGACCTTCTGTCCCAGTGCGGCTCATCATGTTTGTGGCCCACTTTTCGTTTTTCTCACTGCAGCTTTTTCAGATCACGAAAGATGGACGTGAGTTTGTGGTGTCAGTTTGGGTACATTCCTTCTCCCAACATTGAAAATCTGTCTAGAAGTTTACCTTTTTTGGTCATAATGCTACAATAGAATATTTTTGAGATGTCTTGAAGCAACTTTGAATCTTTTTGATCCAAAGCTGGGTTTACATTATTGAAAGCAGAATTAATTGTCTTGCCTCTACCTCTAGTTGTTAGTGTTGCTCGCTTTTGAATATTTTATGATATAAACAGTATATTTTTTATTTTCACACATTTTGTAATCATATATTGGGAGTGGATTGACAGAGCGCTGACGTCATAGTGTTCTACCCAAAAGTATATTCTTTAATGGGCATTTGTTAGAAGGGGTTAGCTTTGCGCTGTAACAGGGGCAGATTTGTCGCTAAGACAGTTTCCCCTAGTCATGTGATTGGTCAATTCTTCTATGGCTCATATATGGATTGACAATCTCAGGAATGAAGATTTGCACATCAATTACTACAGATCTTTGAGGAGAGGCCTGTACAGCCTTCAAGCAAAATAATTATACTCACACATTGTCTTACTGTACTTGCATAAAATTTGTTATTGAGGATGCAACGTTTTGGAGTAATTGATTTTAGTATATTTTGTTTGCTAATGGATTTAAGAAATTGGAAAATCCTTACTTGTAATGAGAACAAGATTACTACTGAGCAGCCAGAATGTTTTGCTCTGTATGGTACAAAAGACTTGAATCAAGATAGAAACAAAGATCGAACCAGGGCTGAGGACTGGATCAGATTGTTCAGCGGGCCTGATATGGCCCCGGGGCCGCGAGTTGAATAGACCTGCTAAAACGCCCCCTTTAGCTGCTGGCCTTTCTTGTGTGTTCCTTGCTGTAAAAAGTCAAACTATTTACAAAAACAATGCTGTCAAAAGCTTGGAATATTATAGCCTCACATTTTGCCTATAAGGTCTATCGATCACAAACATCCATTCATTTGCAGCTTTAGCCTTTGGCCTGTCTGTGTGGATTTCCCATGGGGCCGAGAGAACCTTGACGAGGACATTTTGAAGGAGGAAGGAAGCAAGGACAGAGGAGCTAGGAGACAGGGGCGAGACGTGAGTGATGTGAGGCTCAGAGCTGATTGAGGTGCTGCATCAGGGACCGGCCGAGAGGGAAGCAAAACTGGTCTTTAGGTAAAACAGTAACATTTAGTTGTACAAAGCTGATTATTTTTTATTTTATTTACTTTTTCTATACAGTCAATCATCATTATTTTCTGTTTTGCCTAATTCCAAATAATACAACAGCTCCTCTGATGTGTTTAATCCATAGTCGTTTAGCAAGACTGGATTAAGGTGATTTCAATAACGTTTTATCTGAATTCATTTATTCAATTTTATTTATGTTTGTATATCCCTAAATCACAACAACAGTCATCTGGGAGCAGTAGTCAATTCCCAAAGAACAGGTCAGAGAATCACAACACACAGCCATTTGTCCAGAGAGAGCAGGATGACCACTGTCCATGAATGTATGTCCCGGATTATCACTGTCCTTAGACCCTCCCACATCTGCAAGAAATTGAGCAAAAAAAGCAAAACCAAAACGAACAAGGCCTGATGCTGTCAAACCAGGACTGACTAGTGTCACTTTGAAATTAGGGGTAGTTTTTTTCTCATCTCAATAAATGATTACTTCAGGTTAATATACAGAAATTTCCACTGAATTGTCACCAACTATAAACATATATATTTCCTTATAATGTGTCTGCTCTGAGCCTACGGTTCATGGAAGTATGAATATAGATGATGTGGACATATGTCATTGTTTCATTTTCTTGGCAAGACTTCATATAAACACCAGAAAACATTAACATTGTACATCCTATATGTTAGAAAATATAAAGAATAACGTTTTAATAACATAGTTCCAGAAAGTCTTAATGAATCTATGTTCTCACCTCCTACTGTGTGTGCGTGCGGTTGTCAGTAGGTGGCGCTGTTTCCTCACTGTCCATGCTCTGACCTGATGCTGCCGTTGTCACAGTAACAGAGCTGACTCCTGCTCGCTGTAAAATCACACATTAGAACTCTGTGGAAAAAAGCGGATTTCAAATGACTTTAATCTGAAAACGTCATGTTGTTAAGTCCCACTTTTCACATATGGCACAACTTACATCTTTCATCATCAAAGTATATATTTTCTTTGTAAACAATTTAAGAAAGAGAAAAGTTTCATGAGTAAATGCAATACAAGATCCTTTCATATTTTAAAATGAGGACCAACATTGCAGGCCGTAATAGTAATACTCTCACCAAAAGCCACACATCTGCAGTCGTCTCGTGGGACATTACAAAGTTGTCTATTCGCCGACAGCAGATCAGAGAATCAAACCCATCAAACACATGAAATGCAATTATACAAAACACACAGAGGCATTGGTCCATAACTGGCAGATGACCAATATCTCCTCTCTTCTCTTAACCGTGTGGAAGAAGCAGCGACTGACGTTTATTGGGAGCAAACAGAGTGTTTAATGCCAGACTAATTCTTGGCGTTAGTTCCAAGTGTGAGTCAACAGTGCCCACAGTTATTTCACTTTCTCTCTCTCTCTCTGTAATGATTTCAGTTCATTAAAGTGTGAACGATGTGAACAGGTGGGAGACGTGCCTCCAGGAGTCTGCTGACCCGAGGCCAAACCACCGCTCTCTTTTTTACATCCACTAAATTATGTCTGACTAATACAGCAGTAACATAATTAAGCAGAATCATGTTGTTGTCGCGACATGATTATACTGTATACAGCCCTGTTTCCACCAGCCATACTCTACTCTACTCTACTCTACTCTACTGTACTCTACTCTACTCTACTCGGCTCTACTCTATTTGGCTGTACTCTACTTTACTCCACTCTACTCGGCTCTACTCTACTCTACTCTACTCTACGCTACTCTACTCGGCTCTACTCTACTCTACTCTACTCTACTCTACTCTACTCTACTCTATTTGGCTGTACTCTACTTTACTCCACTCTACTCGGCTCTACTCTACTCTACGCTACTCAACGCTACGCTACGCTACGCTACTCTAATCTACTCTGTTCTACCCCACTTAACTCTACTCTACTGTACTCTATTCTACTCTACTATACTCTACATTACTCTACTCTATTCTATTCTTCTGTACTCTTCTCTGCTCTATTCTTCTTTGCTCTAGTCTACTCCACTCTACTCTACACTACTCTATTCTACCCTACTTATCTCTACTCTACTGTATTTTTTCTACTCTACTCTCCTTTACTCTACTCTACTCTACTCTTCTCTATTCTTCTCTACTCTACTCTACTCTACTCTACTCTACACTTCCCTGATTGGTCGTGTTTCCACTTGCCCTGTTTAACCGGTACCAGGTGCTACTTTTGTCCTTCTTTGCCCTGGTTCCAGGAAGAGCTCGTACTGAAGTGTTCTTCAGTCGTTTCCTTTTGGATAATTATACATTATAATTTTACAGTGCATGCAGGGCTTCTGACAGCTGCAGCAGCACTCAGACCTATAGCCAACAGGTTTGATATCGCACTTCAGCAGTCGTGAATTAAGGTGGTTAGAAAAGTGTATGAGGTGTGTGTGAGGAGTTTTACAACCTTAAAACAACCTTATAGCTGCTACTTAAAAGATTTCTCATATTGCGGCCTATTTTCAGAACGTAACCTCATCAATAAACAAGGAACTATTGTGTTATATTATGGGCAGAGACAATTTGTCTTTTTTGAGATTGTCTCCGGTCAAATTGATTATACCCTTTCATTTTGAGTGTAAATCTTAAAATAGCACTGTGTAGAACTTCTGGCACTAGATGGCAGTGTTGGCACATTCTAGTCATCTTTACTGGTTTATCTGTATATTAATTACATTCTAAAACGTGCCAAACAATGAAACTCTCCTGTCCTTTTCCTATATTTCTGTTTTCCCTGTTGCGTGCCCTCCCCCCTCTGCCCCTCTGTGTCATGCAGTCTGACGATACAAGCATTCATTCTCCGGAGAAGCTTCACAAGGACCAAAACAATCTCCTGTCTCTCTCTCATTCATCTGACTCCGTTTCACTTGAACTTTTATTTTATGGCTACAGAACTTGGTTGGTTTGATATGTTCAGCTTCTATCATGAAATGTGCTGCCAAGAACCACCGAGCGATTGGGACCCGGTGTAAGACCCACGTAAACAAGGTATGATGCTAATGTTGCAGGACAGGGTTATGTATTTATACAGTATCTCTGCTTTGTACTGACCTAGAGACATGCATTTCTACTAATCCATTATGTTAAGACTTTTACTGATTATATGAACTAATGTCTTTGCTTCAACAATTTGTGGAATGTCTTGTGAATGTTTCTTATGTTGTACTCTACAAACCAATTTTCTTACAAGGACAAGAAACTCTACTTGTACTTTATAAATGTGATTAGAGTTGGGTATCTTTGAGAGCCTGCCGATACGATACATTTCAATTCAATACGATTTGATAGATTTCTAAACAATGCAATACATTTCAGTTAGGGTTTTGTGCCCTTATCTTACTCTCCCATTAGAACAAACATACAACATTAAATATATTGAAGAATAATTGTTCAAAATATCAATACAAAATATGTGAGAAAAAAGTAATTAAATTAATATATCTGTGTACAGCCCTAAATCACAACAGCAATCATAGTCGACTGGGTTTGCTCCTTCACTGTATCCAAAAAATCAGTGAGCGGATGCAAAATAATTTCCTCCAGCTAAATGCAGACAAAACCGAAATCATTGTCTTTGGTCCCCAGAAACAAAGAGAGGGCGTCATTTGTCAACTTCAGTCTCTCTCCCTACTGCCATCAGACAAGGTGAGAAATTTAGGGGTAATACTGGACTCAGACCTAAATTTCAATAGCCACATAAAATCAATAACATCAGGTCTGTCCAAACAGGCTGTAAAACAGCTGCAGTACGTCCAAAATGCAGCAGCCCGAGTCCTGACTAGAACCAGGAAGTTCGACCATATTAGTCCAGTCCTCAGGTCTCTGCACTGGCTTCCTGTGGCTCAGAGAATAGACTTTAAAACAGCTCTGCTTGTTACAAGTCTCTCCATGGCCTCGCACCAAAATATATTAGTGACATGTTAGTCCCATATGAACCAGCCCGGACTCTGAGGAGCACAGGGACTGGCCTCCTGCTGGTGCCAGAGTGAGAACCAAACATGGGGAGGCTACGTTTCAGATCCATGCAGCTAAGATCTGGAACAATCTCCCTGAAAATGTGAGAGAGGCGTCTACTCTGTCAATGTTCAAATGCAGGTTAAAGACTGTTCTGTTTGCCTGTGCATGCAACTGAAGGATTTTATCTCCATTTCTAATGCACTGTTGTTACTTATTTATTTATTTTTTAATTCTTTGTTTAATTTGAACGTTTTAATCGTTTTAATCTTTTGTGGGATGTTAATGTTTTAATTGTGATTCTGGTGTTTGTTTTGTGTGATGATTTGTGATGTGGACTGTGAAGCGCTTTGTGTTGCCCTGTGTATGAAAGGCCATAAGGAGCGGGGCGACCAGTGTCCAGAAATGTTAATGAATGTCCAGAAGTGTCCTGGGTCATCACTCTCCTAGGCCCTCCTGCATCAGTGGGAAAATAAATTGAGCAACTTCGGGGAGGCCCATAATGAGGGATGGATCTGCTCCACAGACAGACAGGCTGTAGATCCAGGACCGAAGAGGCTACAAGGCTATTAGTGCAGTGCAGCCCAAAAAATGTTTTTTTATAACAGCAAAAAAGATGTATATCTAAAAATAGTGGCTTTTATTTTAGTGCAAGAAGCGTAAAGAAGCCAATTTGAACATAAACAGCTGGAGGCAATCTTTTGGCATTTTGAGGCAGACGTGTTGCTATGGTGGTTGCTAAGGCAAGCTCAAGTTTCCCCCGCGAATGAAGGCATCTGATTAAGGACAGCACGATATATCAAAAGAATATTGTTATCGCGATACTGGTGCGTGCAATATCCATATCGGAAAATATGCGCAATATTTTTTTTTTTATAATAATTTTTAACAAATACATTTATTTAAGACAACAAAAGACAGACAGACACATCATTCAACAAATACAACAAACAAACAAATAAGCAAAAAAGTATATAAATATATTAATTTGAAGGTCATTAATGTTTTTGTTATTTTCAATGCAGATTGCAATTTCAGGTAAAAGAAAAAAATATTGCAATAATATTGTTATCACAATACTAAACACACATATCGAATATCGTGCAGCCCTAATCTGATTGGTCAATTCTTATATGGCTCATATCTCAATTTACAAAAAAATATTTCACAATATAAACACCAGGATCACAGAGAGCCCTAAACCACAGAGTTAAGCCCAAACTAGTGAGTGTGACACAAACAGGTCCAGATTTTGAGGACTTTACTTTTACATTTATGTCATTATGAGTTGGAGTAAAACTTTGCCCATGAGCACTTCCCTATTGGACTTCATTGAGCTAGTGCGTTAGCATTGTCCATCTATAGTCTATGGTTTGAAGCTGGACATAACATGAGAACTGAGTGGCTCTTCTTTATAATGTGCTGAAAGTGGCCAGTCCGCTCTTTATCTTTGTGCGTTCATGCTGCCACAGTCTCTCTCTCTCTTCCTGCTTCTCTCCTGCTTTTGTGAAGAAAGGGGAAGAAATGTGCTCTATTTTTAGTCTGTACGCTTAAGACGGAGAGAGAATTTGACTTTGTACTTTTTCCCCAGGCTTAAAAGAAAAATACTATGCAGGAATCTTTTGAGTCAATATTTACAACAACATAAAAACAGCTTTCTAAATATGACATAAATAAACACTATATGAAATACATTTGCACTTGGGCTGGGACTCGATAAATAAAATAATCTAATAAATTAGGGGCTTTGTAATTAATTAATCACAATTAATCACATTCTAATCGCGAATAAATATTTAATCTGAGAACAGTGAGAAGTCATTTTTTCACATGAATTTTTAGTTTACCATTGAATAATGACTGAATACATGAATACAGAAGCAACACATGTTCATTGTGGATGATAAGGGAATCAGACGGACTTCTTTCATCAAGTAATGTTTCTGTCATTGCCTCCACCTCCTCCTCCACCTACTCCTCCACACACTCTGACCACAACATATGCTCCTCCTCCACCTCCTCCTCCACACACTCTGACCACAACATATGCTCCTCCTCCACCTCCTCCTCCACACACTCTGACCACAACATATGCTCCACCTCCTCCTCCACACACTCTGACCACAACATATGCTCCTCCTCCACCTCCTCCTCCACACACTCTGACCACAACATACGCTCCTCCTCCACACACTCTGACCTCTCTGACCACAACATACGCTCCTCCTCCTCCTCCTCCTCCACACACTCTGACCACAACATACGCTCCTCCTCCACCTCCTCCTCCACACACTCTGACCACAACATACTCCTCCTCCTCCTCCTCCTCCTCCTCCTCCTCCACACACTCTGACCACAACATACGCTCCTCCTCCTCTCCACACTCTCTGACCACAACATACGCTCCTCCTCCTCCTCCTCCACACACTCTGACCACAACATATACGCTCCTCCTCCCCTCCTCACTCCTCCTGACCACAACATACGCTCCTCCACCTCCTCCACACTCTCTGACCACAACATAGCTCCTCCTCCCCCTCCTCACACTCTCTGACCACAACATACTCCTCCTCCTCCTCCTCCACACTCTCTGACCACAACATACGCTCCTCCTCCTCCTCCTCCTCCACACACCTCTGACCACAACATACGCTCCTCCTCCTCCTCCTCCACACACTCTGACCACAACATACGCTCCTCCTCCACCTCCTCCTCCACACACTCTGACCACAACATACGCTCTCCTCCTCCTCCACACTCTCTGACCACAACATACGCTCCTCCTCCTCCTCCTCCACACTCTCTGACCACAACATACGCTCCTCCTCCACCTCCTCCTCCACACTCTCTGACCACAACATACGCTCCTCCTCCACCTCCTCCTCCACACACTCTGACCACAACATACGCTCCTCCTCCACCTCCTCCTCCACACACTCTGACCACAACATACGCTCCTCCTCCTCCTCCTCCACACACTCTGACCACCTCCTCCCTCCTCACACTCTCTGACCACAACATATGCTCCTCCTCCTCCTCCTCCACACTCTCTGACCACAACATACGCTCCTCCTCCACCTCCTCCTCCACCTCCTCCTCCACACACTCTGACCACAACATACGCTCCTCCTCCACTCCTCCTCCACACACTCTGACCACAACATACGCTCCTCCTCCACCTCCTCCTCCACACACTCTGACCACAACATACGCTCCTCCTCCACCTCCTCCTCCACACTCTCTGACCACAACATAAGCTCCCTCCTCCTCCTCCACACACTCTGACCACAACATACGCTCCTCCTCCACCTCCTCCTCCACACACTCTCTCTGACCACAACATACGCTCCTCCTCCTCCTCCTCCTCCTCCTCCTCCTCCTCCTCCACACACTCTGACCACAACATACGCTCCTCCTCCTCTTCCACACTCTCTGACCACAACATACGCTCCTCCTCCTCCTCCACACACTCTGACCACAACATACGCTCCTCCTCCTCCTCCTCCTCCACACACTCTGACCACAACATACGCTCCTCCACCTCCTCCTCCTCCATACTCTCTGACCACAACATAAGCTCCTCCTCCACCTCCTCCTCAACACTCTCTGACCACAACATACGCTCCTCCTCCTCCTCCACATACTCTGACCACAACATACGCTCCTCCTCCTCCTCCTCCTCCTCCTCCACACACTCTCTGACCACAACATACGCTCCTCCTCCTCCTCCTCCACACTCTCTGACCACAACATACGCTCCTCCTCCACCTCCTCCTCCACACACTCTAACCACAACATACGCTCCTCCTCCTCCACACTCTCTGACCACAACATACGCTCCTCCTCCTCCTCCTCCACACACTCTGACCACAACATACGCTCCTCCTCCTCCTCCTCCACACTCTCTGACCACAACATACGCTCCTCCTCCTCCTCCTCCACACTCTCTGACCACAACATACGCTCCTCCTCCACCTCCTCCTCCACACACTCTGACCACAACATATGCTCCTCCTCCACCTCCTCCTCCACACACTCTGACCACAACATACGCTCCTCCTCCTCCTCCTCCACACACTCTGACCACAACATATGCTCCTCCTCCTCCTCCTCCACACTCTCTGACCACAACATACGCTCCTCCTCCACCTCCTCCTCCACCTCCTCCTCCACACACTCTGACCACAACATACGCTCCTCCTCCACATCCTCCTCCACACACTCTGACCACAACATACGCTCCTCCTCCACCTCCTCCTCCACACACTCTGACCACAACATACGCTCCTCCTCCACCTCCTCCTCCACACTCTCTGACCACAACATAAGCTCCTCCTCCTCCTCCACACACTCTGACCACAACATACGCTCCTCCTCCTCCACACTCTCTGACCACAACATACGCTCCTCCTCCTCCTCCTCCTCCACACACTCTGACCACAACATACGCTCCTCCTCCACCTCCTCCTCCACACACTCTCTGACCACAACATACGCTCCTCCTCCTCCTCCTCCACACTCTCTGACCACAACATACGCTCCTCCTCCACCTCCTCCTCCACACACTCTAACCACAACATACGCTCCTCCTCCTCCTCCTCCTCCTCCTCCTCCTCCTCCACACACTCTGACCACAACATACGCTCCTCCTCCTCTTCCACACTCTCTGACCACAACATACGCTCCTCCTCCTCCTCCACACACTCTGACCACAACATACGCTCCTCCTCCTCCTCCTCCTCCACACACTCTGACCACAACATACGCTCCTCCTCCTCCTCCTCCTCCACACTTTCTGACCACAACATACGCTCCTCCTCCACCTCCTCCTCCACACTCTCTGACCACAACATACGCTCCTCCTCCTCCTCCTCCTCCTCCTCCTCCTCCTCCTCCACACACTCTGACCACAACATACGCTCCTCCTCCTCTTCCACACTCTCTGACCACAACATACGCTCCTCCTCCTCCTCCACACACTCTGACCACAACATACGCTCCTCCTCCTCCTCCACACTCTCTGACCACAACATAAGCTCCTCCTCCACCTCTTCCACACACTCTGACCACAACATACGCTCCTCCTCCTCCTCCACACTTTCTGACCACAACATACGCTCCTCCTCCACCTCCTCCTCCACACTCTCTGACCACAACATACGCTCCTCCTCCTCCTCCTCCACACACTCTGACCACAACATACGCTCCTCCTCCTCCTCCACATACTCTGACCACAACATACGCTCCTCCTCCTCCACACTCTCTGACCACAACAGACGCTCCTCCTCCTCCTCCTCCTCCTCCTCCACACACTCTGACCACAACATACGCTCCTCCTCCTCCACACACTCTGACCACAACATACGCTCCTCCTCCACCTCCTCCTCCACACACTCTCTGACCACAACATACGCTCCTCCTCCTCCTCCTCCACACTCTCTGACCACAACATACGCTCCTCCTCCACCTCCTCCTCCACACACTCTAACCACAACATACGCTCCTCCTCCTCCTCCTCCTCCTCCTCCTCCTCCTCCACACACTCTGACCACAACATACGCTCCTCCTCCTCTTCCACACTCTCTGACCACAACATACGCTCCTCCTCCTCCTCCACACACTCTGACCACAACATACGCTCCTCCTCCTCCTCCTCCTCCACACACTCTGACCACAACATACGCTCCTCCTCCTCCTCCTCCTCCACACACTCTGACCACAACATACGCTCCTCCTCCACCTCCTCCTCCACACACTCTCTGACCACAACATACGCTCCTCCTCCTCCTCCTCCTCCACACTCTCTGACCACAACATACGCTCCTCCTCCACCTCCTCCTCCACACACTCTAACCACAACATACGCTCCTCCTCCTCCTCCTCCCTCCTCCTCCTCCACACACTCTGACCACAACATACGCTCCTCCTCCTCTTCCACACTCTCTGACCACAACATACGCTCCTCCTCCTCCTCCACACACTCTGACCACAACATACGCTCCTCCTCCTCCTCCTCCTCCTCCTCCTCCTCCTCCTCCTCCTCCTCCTCCACACACTCTGACCACAACATACGCTCCTCCTCCTCTTCCACACTCTCTGACCACAACATACGCTCCTCCTCCTCCTCCACACACTCTGACCACAACATACGCTCCTCCTCCTCCTCCACACTCTCTGACCACAACATAAGCTCCTCCTCCACCTCTTCCACACACTCTGACCACAACATACGCTCCTCCTCCTCCTCCACACTTTCTGACCACAACATACGCTCCTCCTCCACCTCCTCCTCCACACTCTCTGACCACAACATACGCTCCTCCTCCTCCTCCTCCACACACTCTGACCACAACATACGCTCCTCCTCCTCCTCCACATACTCTGACCACAACAGACGCTCCTCCTCCTCCACACTCTCTGACAACAGACGCTCCTCCTCCTCCACACTCTCTGACAACATACGCTCCTCCTCCTCCTCCTCCTCCTCCTCCACACACTCTGACAACATACGCTCCTCCTCCTCCTCCTCCACACTCTCTGACCACAACATACGCTCCTCCTCCTCCTCCACATACTCTGACCACAACATACGCTCCTCCTCCTCCTCCTCCTCCTCCTCCTCCTCCACACTCTCTGACCACAACATACGCTCCTCCTCCACCTCCTCCTCCACACACTCTAACCACAACATACGCTCCTCCTCCTCCTCCTCCTCCTCCACACACTCTCTGACCACAACATACGCTCCTCCTCCACCTCCTCCTCCACACACTCTAACCACAACATACGCTCCTCCTCCTCCTCCTCCTCCTCCTCCTCCTCCTCCTCCTCCTCCTCCTCCTCCTCCTCCACACACTCTGACCACAACATACGCTCCTCCTCCTCCTCCACACACTCTGACCACAACATACGCTCCTCCTCCTCCTCCTCCTCCTCCCACACTCTCTGACCACAACATACGCTCTTCCTCCTCCTCCTCCACACACTCTGACCACAACATATACGCTCCTCCTCCTCCTCCTCCTCCTCCACACTCTCTGACCACAACATAAGCTCCTCCTCCACCTCTTCCACACACTCTGACCACAACATACGCTCCTCCTCCTCCTCCTCCTCCACACTTTCTGACCACAACATACGCTCCTCCTCCTCCACACACTCTAACCACAACATACGCTCCTCCTCCTCCACACTCTCTGACCACAACATACGCTCCTCCTCCTCCTCCTCCTCCTCCACACACTCTGACCACAACATAAGCTCCTCCTCCACCTCTTCCACACACTCTGACCACAACATACGCTCCTCCTCCTCCTCCTCCTCCACACTTTCTGACCACAACATACGCTCCTCCTCCACCTCCTCCTCCACACTCTCTGACCACAACATACGCTCCTCGTCCTCCTCCACACACTCTGACCACAACATACGCTCCTCCTCCTCCTCCTCCTCCACACTCTCTGACCACAACCTACGCTCCTCCTCCTCCTCCTCCTCCTCCACACTCTCTGACCACAACATATGCTCCACCTCCTCCTCCACACTCTCTGACCACAACATACGCTCCTCCTCCTCCTCCTCCACACTCTCTGACCACAACATACGCTCCTCCTCCTCCTCCTCCTCCACACACTCTGACCACAACATATGCTCCTCCTCCTCCTCCTCCACACTCTCTGACCACAACATACGCTCCTCCTCCACCTCCTCCTCCACCTCCTCCTCCACACACTCTGACCACAACATATGCTCCTCCTCCACCTCCTCCTCCACACACTCTGACCACAACATACGCTCCTCCTCCTCCTCCTCCTCCACACACTCTGACCACAACATATGCTCCTCCTCCTCCTCCTCCACACTCTCTGACAACATACGCTCCTCCTCCTCCACACTCTCTGACAACAGACGCTCCTCCTCCTCCTCCTCCTCCACACTCTCTGACCACAACATATGCTCCTCCTCCTCCTCCTCCACACTCTCTGACCACAACATACGCTCCTCCTCCTCCTCCTCCTCCACACACTCTGACCACAACATACGCTCCTCCTCCTCCTCCACACTCTCTGACCACAACATATGCTCCTCCTCCTCCTCCTCCACACTCTCTGACCACAACATACGCTCCTCCTCCACCTCCTCCTCCACACACTCTGACCACAACATACGCTCCTCCTCCACCTCCTCCTCCACACACTCTGACCACAACATACGCTCCTCCTCCACCTCCTCCTCCACACTCTCTGACCACAACATAAGCTCCTCCTCCTCCTCCACACACTCTGACCACAACATACGCTCCTCCTCCTCCACACTCTCTGACCACAACATACGCTCCTCCTCCTCCTCCACACACTCTGACCACAACATACGCTCCTCCTCCTCCTCCTCCTCCACACTCTCTGACCACAACATACGCTCCTCCTCCACCTCCTCCTCCACACACTCTCTGACCACAACATACGCTCCTCCTCCACCTCCTCCTCCACACTCTCTGACCACAACATACGCTCCTCCTCCACCTCCTCCTCCACACACTCTCTAACCACAACATACTTTCCTCCTCCTCCACACTCTCTGACCACAACATACGCTCCTCCTCCTCTTCCACACTCTCTGACCACAACATACGCTCCTCCTCCTCCTCCACACACTCTGACCACAACATACGCTCCTCCTCCTCCTCCTCCTCCACCACACTCTGACCACAACATACGCTCCTCCTCCTCCTCCTCCATACTCTCTGACCACAACATACGCTCCTCCTCCTCCTCCTCCTCCACACTCTCTGACCACAACATACGCTCCTCCTCCACCTCCTCCTCCACACACTCTCTAACCACAACATACTTTCCTCCTCCTCCACACTCTCTGACCACAACATACGCTCCTCCTCCTCCACACACTCTGACCACAACATACGCTCCTCCTCCTCCTCCTCCTCCACACACTCTGACCACAACATACGCTCCTCCTCCTCCTCCTCCTCCATACTCTCTGACCACAACATAAGCTCCTCCTCCACCTCTTCCACACACTCTGACCACAACATACGCTCCTCCCTCTCCTCCTCCTCCACACACTCTGACCACAACATACGTTCCTCCTCCACCTCCTCCTCCACACTCTCTGACCACAACATAAGCTCCTCCTCCTCCTCCTCCACACACTCTCTGACCACAACATACGCTCCTCCTCCTCCTCCTCCACACTCTCTGACCACAACATATGCTCCTCCTTCACCTCCTCCTCCACACTCTGACCACAACATACGCTCCTCCTCCTCTTCCACACTCTCTGACCACAACATACGCTCCTCGTCCTCCTCCTCCTCCACACACTCTGACCACAACATACGCTCCTCCTCCTCCTCCTCCTCCATACTCTCGGACCACAACATACGCTCCTCCTCCTCCTCCTCCTCCACACTCTCTGACCACAACATACGCTCCTCCTCCACCTCCTCCTCCACACACTCTCTAACCACTACATACTTTCCTCCTCCTCCACACTCTCTGACCACAACATACGCTCCTCCTCCTCTTCCACACTCTCTGACCACAACATACGCTCCTCCTCCTCCTCCACACACTCTGACCACAACATACGCTCCTCCTCCTCCTCCTCCTCCACACACTCTGACCACAACATACGCTCCTCCTCCTCCTCCTCCTCCATACTCTCTGACCACAACATAAGCTCCTCCTCCACCTCTTCCACACACTCTGACCACAACATACGCTCCTCCCTCTCCTCCTCCTCCACACACTCTGACCACAACATACGTTCCTCCTCCACCTCCTCCTCCACACTGTCTGACCACAACATAAGCTCCTCCTCCTCCTCCTCCTCCTTCTCCTCCACACACTCTCTGACCACAACATACGCTCCTCCTCCTCCTCCTCCACACTCTCTGACCACAACATATGCTCCTCCTTCACCTCCTCCTCCACACTCTGACCACAACATACGCTCCTCCTCCACACTCTCTGACCACAACATACACTCCTCCTCCTCCTCCTCCACACACTCTGACCACAACATACGCTCCTCCTCCTCGTCCTCCTCCACACTCTCTGACCACAACATAAGCTCCTCCTCCACCTCCTCCACACACTCTGACCACAACATACGCTCCTCCTCCTCCTCCTCCACACACTCTGACCACAACATACTCTCCTCTTCCTCCTCCTCTTCCACACACTCTGACCACAACGTACGCTCCTCCTCCACCTCCTCCACACACTCTGACCACAACATACGCTCCTCCTCCACCTCCTCCTCCACACACTCTGACCACAACATACGCTTTTTATGCCCAAAATCCACTGCACTCGCAGTGAGCTCTAAAACTGGGCATGCGCTGTTTGCTAATGCTTTTATAATACGTTTTTGATGCAGACATTCGGACGAAACATCAGCAATAGCAGCTTACACACCTGTGTCTCGCTCCTCCTCCTTCTCCGCCTCCTCCTTCTCCGCCTCCTCCTCCTCCTTCTCTGCCTCCTCCTCCTCCTCCTTCTCCTTTTTGTGTAATTAATTCATCTTAATTAACGCGTCAAAGTCCTGGCCCTAATTTGCACACGTTTCCTCTGTGGTGATGTTATAAACGCTTTTGCTGCTAACCCCCTGCTCTCCTCCAATTAGCTACTTTATTTAAGGTGTCTTTGGCAGTTGAATTTCTATTTCAGTTGAGGCCAGGTGTCAATACAAGTCTATAGGGAATAAGCAATTTTTTGAAGAAATGTTAAAAAAGAAACCTAGATCCAGGACAGAAAACACATGAAAGTTCTCTGCCGTAGACTTTTGAATCCTAAGTAGCTCTAAATGTTACTGCAGTTTGGTGTTCATAGTGTCACACTGATCCAGACCAGAACAGAGAGGCTGCCTCTGGAGGATGCACAGTCCGAACCAAGCAGATTAAGCAAAAATCTACTGGATCAATACTTACCTTTTTAGAAAAATGGGAATAAAGATTCCGGAGCAGAGATACTGATCCGAACCAAGCAGACTCTGTGAACATCACTCAAGAGACTAGGAAGCAGCTCATCACCTCTGCTGCTGTTGCACTTTATTACTATTGTTAGTAACTTTTAGAATTATGTGTTTATTTATCTGTTTATAGATGGATGTATTTCTGCTGCTGGACACCTGAATTTCTCCCACGGCAATCAATCAAATATCTACCTACTGTATCTATCTATCTATTGGCCAATATCATGCTTATTTTTTTAAATATTATCCCCACTCTTAGATTCCTTTTATAAGAAATAAGTAGACAATAGTGCACTGACTTATGTGGAACTGACTGTTTTTGTTTCTTGTGGATTGGATCGGAATTGACAGGACAACCTATTCCTGTCAATCCCGATCCAATCCACAAGAAACAAAAACAGTCAGTTCCACATACCACAGACCAGGAGTTTGACCACAGTTGCCATAGGATAAAAAAGATTGTTCAGCTGCCCTTCACTGCAATTTGAATAAAGAAATATGCTTTTTGTAGTTGGTCATTCACAATTATAATGAGACTATTCTAATTGTTCATGTTTTAGAACGTGTAATGTTATGCCCCTCGTCTCTCTAAGCCTGAGGGCCCCCAGAGTGTCGAGGCCTGTAAAACACATCTATCAAAAAAGTCCAATGAATGAATAAAAATTACCTTTATTATTCCCACAGTGAAGAAATGACTTCAGTCTGTTTGAAGGTCTGCGTAGCCTCTGACTGTTTTCAGCTGTGCTTGTTTTTATTGTGTGTGTGTGTGTGTGTGTGCGTGTGTGTGTGTGTGAGAGTGTCTTTGAGTGTGTTATATGCCAGTTTTGGCGAATTATAAACGCTGAGTTTCCATGGTTACATCCAGGTTCAAACCATACACTATAGACAAGGCTAACCCGCTATAGCTAAAGCCCAATAAAGAAGTGTTCATGGACAAAGTTTTGCTCCAACTCTGGCTCCTTACATGTACAAGTAAACTCCTTTAGCTTCTTTAACACCGTTTGTCTCACACTCACCATTTTGGGCCTTAAAAAAAACATGATTTTGAGCTCTTTTTATTCTGAGCTCATGCACCTGTTGTAGCACTTTGAAGTTTCCTTGAAAATGTAAAGTGCGGATTCTTATTTTTTGTTCTGAACATAACACGTCTCCCACTCATGCAAAAGTGCAGCCATCTTTGGAGCTCTTACAAACATAGCAGACCGTTCCCTTTTTTTTTCTTTAATTTTCATATTTCTTTCCACCCGGTTCTGCCGCCTGCTCTCCCTCTGTCTGCCTCATCCTTTAAGCCAAACTGCTTAAGGAAGTGAAGGGTAGAAATCCCTTTACAAAGTCTTGGCTCTGCGCGCTTTGCTAACACGGCTATCTCGCGTCGTGTTGTCGAGAAAGACACAACGTCCTCTGCAGAAACTTCTACACGCAGGGTTCCGTCACCAGAGGGCGAGGATGGGCCGAGCCAGCGCTTGGACCGCCAATGCTTTCGTCTCGTTTCCCTTCATCCGGACCCAGTCGCCTGCGCACCTGTTGCAGGGCGCTCTGAACCTGGGCAGAAAAAGAGGACATAAGTGCATTAATTTCCTTAGCAATAGACAGCATGTCGTCCATCACACAAAGTGGTGCTTGCAGATCTCTGTCGGGGGTCCCGCCCCAACGTGGGCTACGGCAGAGCTTTGAGTGCAATTCTCTCGCTCGAACGTGGCCTCCGGACAGGGGCGTAACTGCAGTGTTTTACGTATAAGCAATCCAGAAAGTCACCCACTTCCTCATTGACTTTGCTACAAAGTGACTCACCACCGCGTTGCTCGAGGCGTGTAGCCTGCAAATACTCAGTCCATTTGGACCAGAGATCCCCAGACCCCAGTCAGTATTAACTTACCTTGCATGTGTGAGTTTCACAAAAGTCCCTTGACATGTTGAAATGGCGCAGGGCTGAGGATGACAGCCTGTTGGATACTTTTTGGGACTTACCGGGTTTGCGCGTGGCATATAGCGCATGTTTGCTAATCTCTGTGCAAATGCCGTAAACCCCTTGTATACCAATTTGTGTGATTGAATCACACATCATCCCTCCTTTTAGGCATGGTCCTCGACCATGTCTAAAATTGCAAACTGTCTGAAGAAATGCGTTGTAGGCACGGTTTTGCTGTCTGGTCCCCCACCACACACACCAGCCGTGTTGAGCCCCATTCCCCTCCCACAGCAGCGTCTCGCTGGAGTAGAAAATATCAACTCTTGAGAGATGTTAGTGTGTGTGGTGTGTGTAGAGTGCGTAGCCGCTGCCTTGTCCGCACGCCCGATTACCTGCAAGAGATGGGATCAGTGTGCATTAAGTGTGGGCCTGGCATTTAGCATACAGCGAATCTCTAAGGCAACATTACAGCTCCAGCACGTTCAACCTGTGTGGAATTAAGAATTGGTTA